CCCTTCCCTCCCCTCCTTGTCAAGGTGCTTGACCACCCGGGTTTCTGCCCTTTGCTTCTTGCCTCAGACTTCAGGGACTTTCAGTTTTTCCGACAGGAAAGTGATGGAAAATGGAACTTAAGGTCTCCTCCCTGCCACTCTTGCTGGTTTCCATGGGGTTGGGGTGCAGGGAGGGGCTGGCCCAGGCTGGGGGGGGCTATTTTTAGCGGCAGTGGCATTCGGGTGCAGAGAGGAGATGAGTAACCAGCTTCCATGTGGTGGAAGGAGGAGGCAGTAGCTTTCATGCAGCTTTTGTGTGACTGGGGGGAGCTATCCTCCCCTAGCTCAAAAGGGTGACCCCCATCCCCTTAACTGTAGCCCAGGCTGCTGGTACAGCAGGAGAAAGGAATTTCTTAGCCATGGAAACGGCCCCTCACTCTGTGTTCTAGATGTTTGTCCTTGGGCACCCATGGAGCCCGCTCCCTGCAGCACGCTCTCTCACAATCCAGAATGTTGGGGTCATACTGTTCTGTGCCCACACAGCTCTGCTTAGCCTTATGGAGGATAGACTAGGGTGCTTATGCATTTATTTGCACCCTTTCGGAGGATGGAGGAATGGTGTGCTCCCTTGGCAAAACTAATCCCCTAGCAACTGAGATGATAAAAGTGGCCCGTTTTCCAGCTTAGAGCTCCCCGTCACCACTACCACAATGCCTAGCTCACTCAGCCCCCACCTGAAGTGGTGCTCAAGATGCTCACCTTTTAGGCTCATTCTGTCCTGGGGAGTTACATTCACATGTCCCCCCGACCCCACCCCCAAGCCTATACCAGGTGTCCCCTGATTCACCATGGTAATGTTAGTGGCAGCACAGCCCACGCCAACTCTTCCATGCAGAGACTTAGCAACCATGCCTGGCAACCATGGCAGCAGCTCCAGCAGAGGGGAGGGGTGTGGGGTGAGGGAAGAAAGTGTGTATGGCAATGGTTCCTGAGAAAGGGATCATTTGCCTCTCCTGAGAATAGGTGGGAATAGGTTATGAGGCTCCAAATTTTGTTCCTTGTCTTTCCTTCTGCTCCATCCTCAGACTCAGACTGGTTGGGTTTTAGCAGGGAATGGGAAAGCAAGAGATCCTAATTTGTTTTCCACTAACATACCTGCAGCCCTTTGGGATAGACCCTTCCCCAGAAGGGTTGTTTGGGGCAGACCAACTTAATTGAGAACCAGAGCAACAGAACACAGGCCTCCTGCTCCCGAACATGGACTTTTTAAAAGAACCCATATATCCCCTATCCCATCCATTGACATTCCCCCCCTCCTCCTTACACCTACCAGTTGCGCTGATGGCTCTTTGCTTGAAGGTGCTTCCCACCAGAGTACTAAGGCTTTTTAAAGTCCTTGCCTCCTCCCTAGACAAATCCTACTTCATGATGGAATGTGACCAGGAGACATCTGTCCTTTCCTCCATGCACTCACCCCCACACATATAAACATGCTCTAATTATAATAACTTGGAATGTCTCCCTCCCTCAAGTCTAGGAATGTGCTGAGAACTGTGAAGAGGTGAATGCAGAAGCAGGGGCTTCTTCAAAGCCAGGATGTAGCACTGGAAGCTGCCTTGATGCTTTCCCCGGGTTCCATCAGAAAGCCTGGTTTGGAGGAACCGATATGGTATGGTTGGGATCATTAGGGTTCTTGGGCAAGTGGGGGTAGGGGCAAGGTGCTACTCTGAAATCGCTCCTGGTCTTGGTATCCAAGATGGAAATGGTATAATACCTGCAAAGCAGTGGTGAGATGGTATCCAGAATTTGGCTCATACCCAACAGTCTAGGTGTCCTTATACTGTTTTGTTTTTTTTAAATATATTTTTATTGATTTCAGAGAGGAAGGGAGAGGGAGAATCATTGATGGGCTGCTTCCTGCAGGCCCCACACTGGGGATCAAGCCTGTAACCCAGGCATGTGTCCCAACTGGGAATTGAATTGTGACCTCCTGGTTCATAGGTCGATGCTCAACCACTGAACCACGCCAGCTGGGCTTGACTACTGTTTTGGCCCATATGGTTTCAGCACAGGGAAAGGGTTTGATGGGGTGACCATAGTTCTGCTGCTCCCCCACTGCATACCCTACAGCTCATTCTCACTTTGGAAATTTCAGGTTCAAAGACAGTGCCAGTTCAGCAAAATCCAAATACAGAGTCCAACCTTTTGATGGTGGCATGTCTCCGTCTACTCTCTGGAGACCTAACACTGTTATGTGCTTTTCCTGGGAAATCAGCTACGGTCCAGGCAGAAGGGAACGTGGGGGTGATAAGGATTGTAGGGAATAAGGTGAGAACAGTTTTTAATGGAGATTTAGAAAGGTAGTAAGTCTAATGTAGTGATAAAGAGCACGAGCTCTGGTGCCAGCGGGGTTCACATGCTAGCTCTGTACTTTTTACTAGCTGTGTTGCCTTGGGCTAGTTAGCCTCTCTGTGCCTTCGTTTCTTTTAAATCTATGAAACTGGAATATCTACTATTGTTCTGAGGAGTAAATGAATTAGTATATGTAAAGCACTGAGAATGATGGACAGTTTTCTATAAAGTGTGTTACTGTAATTAATGAGTTGAAGAAGCCATATGAAGTAGAAAGGCTGGAGCAGTAGTGACTGTCAACTACAAAAAGCAAACACTGCAATATCATGAAGAGGTTCCTGTCATTTTAATTAGGTTTGCCATGAAAAGCAATAACCTTAGCTAACCACTTTGCAGTCCTCCTCCACCCAATCCCACTTCTCTTCGTATGAATATAGCACAGGAACCCAAAGGCCTTCCTCCCCATGATCCTCCCCACTCCCATTATGGGAAGAAATGTTATGAAATGGACTCAGCCTCCCCCATAGAGCATGAAACAGGATGAATAAAAATATTTTTATGAAGAGTTGTGCTATGGTGGAGGGAGTCAGGGGCAGAGATAGAGGCAAAGACTGGATCTCGTAGAGATCAGAATTTGTCCAAGCGGCAGAGCCCATAGTTCACCCAGAATGGGGGCATGTCTAAGAGGACAGGGGCTGGGATAGGCTAGGCTGAAAGTTTTCCTCATGTGTGAGGATAGGACAGCTACAAATCCATTCTCCTTCCTTTCCCCATATCTTCCCTGGCTCTCAGGTAGAAGAAGGGAAGAGGTCTCCTGGGCAGGGAACAGAGTCACAATTCTCTCAAGATTTCATCTGTGGTTCCAAACTTTGTACAGGCAGTGAGTGGGCATAACCCTTGGTGCCACCTGACCCCTTCCCCTAGCTCAGGGCTTTTCTCCGCCTGTGAGCACCAGGGCCTGCAGGATGTCTGACAGTGAGACAATTCCCTTGACCACATCATTCTCATCCACCACTACAAGTCGGTGAACCTGCAGAGAACAACAAGGGAGAAAGGGATATTTAGTGCCAGCTTCAGGGAGAGCCCTTCAAGCTCTATCCTCCTTGCCAAACCCCAGCTCCTTTGGGGTCACTGGTCCCCCTACCTCTGCTTCCACCAGCCTGTTGATGATGGTCTCCAGAGTTTCATGCAGGTAGCACTTAAGGACACCCTCAAAGTAATGTGATCGATGTTGGAGGGCTTTGGTCACAGACACATCTAGGTTGTTGTAGGTCTTTTCTGCTGCCAGATTCTGGGGAGAGAGGGGAAGGTGCTTGCAGAGAAGCAAGGGAGCCAGCCCCGAAACCCTGAGTCCACCCAACCCCAAAGGGATTTAGGGCAGTTGTCAGCCATGCCCACAAGCCACACCCAGCTAATTCAATTATTTTTCATATAAAATCTGAAAGCTTGGAAGCTTCTTAAAACCCTTAGATCCCAGAAGAGACTCTTCTTTTCCCTCTCCACATCCAACATGCCACCCCTTTCCCTACCTCCCAGCCCCTCCCCAATCACTCACGATAACATCAAACTTGGAGTAGATGTCCACCACACGCCCTAGAGGGACAGAGGTAGCTCAGCAAGGAGGATCTGACATCCAAGACTCCCCCTGGCTGTAGGTAGAATCACCATCCTGGCTGAGCTAAGGGGGAAGCAGATTTTCCCAGAGCCACCCTGACTTCCTTGGAGCCTTCCCTCTCCTTCTGTCCACTCTCTCACCTTTTTCATCCACCACAGGCAGGGCCGAGACTCGGTGCTGTACGAAAATGCCCAGAGCCACGTAGACGGGGGTGGTAGTGCGGACCATAGCAATGTTGGCATAGGTGCCAATCTGTAGCTCTTCCAGAGACTTAGACATGAACTCTGGCTTGGGGAACTCAGTGATCTGAGGAAGGAACCATCACCTTGATTTTCAAGGCTCCCCATATCACCCTTGGATACCTTTCCAACCGAGTATATAAGAAGTAAAAACCGGGCTGAGGAGCACTTACAAATAATTTGAGGAACTTGAGGATGCGCTTGTGGGTGAGGATGTACAAGGTGTTGCCTGATTCTGGGTCAATAACTGGCAGCCTATGAATCTTGTTCCGGATTAATGAAGAGACAGCATCAAACAAGCTGTGGGAAGATGGGGGACAATGATAAGTTCCACAGTGCTGGGCCTGAGGCTGGGCCTATTTCTGCCCCTGACTCCCTCCACCATAGCTCAGCTCCTTAGAGTGTTTATAAATGGAAAACTGATGGTTGGGAGAAAGAAGGGGAGCAAGTGTGTGAATGCAAGTGTTTGGGAGTCTTTTCTTTCTTCTGCCCCTGAATCTTTGGGTATCTAGTGCTTTAGCTATGCTGATGGCAAGTTTCTTCCTCTTCTGAACAAACTAGAGGCCCGGTGCACGAAATTTGTGCAGAGAGGGGGTGTCCCTCAGCCTGGCCTGCACCCTCTCCAATCTGGGACCCCTTGGGGGATGTTAGACTGCTGGTTTAGGCCCTATCCCAAACTGACAGTAGGACATCCCTCTCACAATCTGGGACTGCTGACTCCTAACCACTCGCCTGCCTGCCTGATTACCCCTAACCGCTTCTGCCTGCCAGCCTGATTGACGCCTAACTGCTCTCCTGCTGGCCCGATTGCCCCCAACTGCCCTCCCCTGCTGGCCTGTTCGCCTCCAACTGCCCCCCTACTAGCCTGGTCGCCCCCTACTGCCCCCGCTGCCGGCCTGGGCGCCCAATACAGCCTGCTGTTCAGTCGTTTGGTCGTCCCTCACTAACCACCCTGGTCGCCCCACGCAGCCTGCTGTTTGGTTGTTACTGTTACTGTGATGGCATCCCGGACAATATGCATATTCCTCTATTATTAGTATAGATGGGTAGCTAGAACTTACCTGGCATTAGGAGAAATGCAGACAAGTGGTTTAAAGGAGTCCTGTAAGTATACCTCTGAAAGGAAAAAAAGGTTCACAAAATACCACCATGGAAAATCATTTCCCAGGAAAATTTCTATCCCTTTACCCTCTCACCCCCCACCCCCTCGCCAATTCTCTACATACCTCTCCAAGTTTCGATCTTGTGTTCTTCCAGCTCATAGATTTGTACCTGGAAGCAAAAGCAACAGAACTTGAGACGTGACCTCCCTGCTTCATAAACCCCTTGTGGTTTGCTTGAAATGAAAATGAGGGGCTTAGGCAGGGGAAGTGGTTTTGGTCATTAGGCTAAGGTCCTTACCAAGGCTGATTTGTAGTAGCGGTGCAGAATATTGATGAAATCAGTGATGGTCAGCATGCCTAGAGGCCAAGACAAGAGCTCTCAGCATTGCTCAAAGCTTTTCTCTGTGCCCAGCACAAGATGCCAATAATACTGTGTTCCAGAAACAATGCTTACCCACAAAACTTTGCTTCTTACTATCCCACAAAGGGGCAGCTCGTACACCATTAGTCACCAAAGCAAAGAAAGCTTTTTTCACCTATAGCCAAAAGAGTTATATTCACAAAGGGAAATTCACGGGCAGGACTTTAAAGGAACAGGGGTTGGGTATATTGGGAAAAACATGAGACTAACCCTATAGAAGGACAAGGATATTATCCTTGGGATGAGATAGGATGAGGGGTATTGAACCAGAGGTTCCAAAGAGGAGAAGGAAAAAGTATTTCACCCACCTGCAAGGAAGTGTCAAACACAACCAATTTGGAGCTTGTGGGAATCAGGTCATAGCAGCGATGAGACTTCATGAAGGAAGTATACACAGTATTGTTGGATTCTGGGGTCTCTGCATAGGGTGGGATAGTTAGTAGCTTCCTTCCAAGCAAAACACACAATCAAAAAGGCAGAAAATACAACAGTGTTGCTGTTGCTCAAATATTTAGAGCAGATTTTTTATAAGGCACTCTATTTTATCTGATTTGTTCCTACTATTCCATTAGGAATAAACCCTCTTAGAAACCATTTCATCCAACCTCCATTTCCAGGTAAGACTATATCTGTTGGTTCCTTGGCTGACTAAAACAGAAAGTCTACCAGTAAAATATTTTTCATTAAACTGTTGTAGTCTAAAAGTTTTTTTCTCATCTTTAAATCGTTTTTCCTTTCATATATTTAGCACATTTAAATTATCTTTTCTCAATTAAGATGTAATTAAACTCCTTAAAATTCAAGTATTCTTCTTCTTCTTCTCCTTCTTCTTCTCCTTCTCCTCCTCCTTCTTTTTCCTCCTTCCTCCTTCTCTTCCTCCTTCCTCCTTCTCTTCCTCCTTCCTCCTTCCCTTCCTCCTTCCTCCTTCCTCCTTTCTCCTTCTCCTTCTTCTTCTTAAGTAAGCTTCAGATGAGAACATCATGGTCCAAGTTGGGCCATTTCAGATTAACAAGAAGTTGGAGCCCAGTGCTCAATCAACCTGGACTAAAACACCTTGAGAGTCCGTCTTGGGATAACGCTGTGAATGAGAAACCATCCCACCTATTCCAGTCAAATGAGACTCTGGCTGTGTTTACCTTTCCAATCTTTTGATTTTAATTGCTTGGTCTAACAAGAGAAACAAGCCCCAAAATAATAGCCCCAAAATGCTCCCTGCTAGACTGTGTATACTTAAAAATACTACATTATTTATTTAATCCTTTCAACAAATCTGCAAGGTAAATATTGTCCTCATTTTTCAGGTGAGAAAGGTGGAAACAGTTAGTTCACACCATTAGTAAGTGAAGTGACAAGACTCAAACACAGATCTACCTGATTCCAAAGTTTACGTACTTAATCCTATGCCAGTTGTTTGTCTTTAACTTCTGTTTTTTACCAAAGTTATTCAGGTACACAGTTTAAAGAGTCAAATTGTTCTACAAATTTTGT